TTCTTTAACAAGTACTGTGAAGAACTGTGTTTTCCTTTTTTTTTGATATTTTATTATTGTCTTTATTTTAATAAAGTTAAGTAATTTACTTGGAAAGATCACGAGGGTTTCCATTTCTCCAGAATTTCTGTCTGGCGAACCTGCCTTAACCCTCGAATCTGGAGCGGGACAGGTGATCAATTAATATTGGTCGCTTGTTACGTCACAAGTATCTATAACAGAGCTTCCCAACCCAGGGGTTGCGACCCCAAATGGGGTCGCAAAGATCATGTCTGAGGTTGCAAACTGGGAACTAAATGCAAAGTCATGTTTTTCTTTGTGATTTTAGCACATAAGTGGGGGAGCCTATCTAACTTTGGCCAGTTCTTGGGGACGCAAACAGTATGAAAGTGATTTTTGTGGTCACACATGAAAAAGGTAGGGAAGCCCTGACCTATAACTAGATTGAGAGTGATCCAGAGCACTCAGATGTTTTATTGAGTCTTATGAAATCAGCTTTCAATTTATTATGTATTGGCTGCTTTGAAGTGAATGTTAACTTGGGAATTTTTCATGGTAAAATCTGTCCTAAAAAGAACTGGAATGTAGCCCTTGGTAGGACTATGTTTGTACATTTTGACATCTTTATGTGGCTGCTGCATGTCATGATGATGTTACAGACTCAAGAGAGTAAGTAGTCCCAAGTGCTCTAGAATTTTTGGATGCTCTTGCTTACATCCTAGGTGACCTACCAGGGGTGACCCGCAGGATGACCAAATACATGGAGAAACATCCAAATTGGAAAGGCTTAGTAGAAGAAGAGCCCTCTGAGGAACAACTTCGTGATGTCCTTGCTTCTTTTGATCTCTTCCTGTGAGAACCCTAGATCTTGTTGATGCGCATTTTAAGTTAGGATACTTCACAATAGAGAAAATCTGAAATTGGATTTCCACTCTCATTCCCTGTGGGCTTTTGAGAGACCAACCATCCTAATAAAATGGCATGGTCTAGACAACTGTCATACTCAGACATAGCTCATGGGCAAGGCTCCTTTATTTTCCTAACTTGTTTGCTTGGGGATCAGGTTCTCTGGTTACATACATTCAGTCAGGAAATTGAGAGTATAGGTTTATTTGATGCTGGGACTTTTGCTGAATTTTGCTGATAATATTTATTGTGTTGAGTGATTCTGTATATCTCAATGAAGTTAGGGAGGAGTGAAAGATGACTGTTGATCAGTGTGAAAAGAGGAATTTCATATCACAAGGATCCCACTTTTGTGTGCCAGTTTGGTGGCTCCAAGCATCACTTATCCATTTCATCAATTCGACAGATTGAGCCATAACAATTATCAGCACCTAGAAGTTTAATAAAATAATGCATGTGGAGGGAAGACAAGCTATCAATGCAATATGTTCTTGTTGGTAAGTGAATAATAATGATGTGCAGTTATTTTTTTTGCACATAATAGAGGAAAGTTGCAAAAAATCAGAGTCCTGTTCACTTCATGAGGTCATAGTCTTGGGTTTATGCCAGAATTAGCAAAATTTAAAAATGATTTAATTTTTATAATCGACACTCATCTGCCAGAAACCAGCTATAATGTGTTAGCTGAAGATTCAAGTTTCATACCAACTTCATTTGCTACCTAAATTTGGCCCTTAGGAACTTCAGGCTTGGAGATTTTTTATGTGTAGACAATTGTTTTCATACCTTCAAAAGTGAAAATGAGAAAGGCCATGATCAGGAGAGCAAGTAAGCTAGTGATATTGATAAACTACGAAGCCATAGACTTCACCGCACCTACTGCAACACGTTATATGTTGATCCATGTATATTTATGTTTAATTGCAGGCATTTCAAATTCTGAAAATTCTCACGCGCATCCAGTAGGTTCACACAAGGACCAACTGTTTTGGTGAAGGACTAGAAGAAACGCTGGAAGTGTTTGTTTTTTATAGTCCTTGTAGACTTGTAGTAGTCTGGGATAAGAGCTCCAGGATTACTTATTATGGTCAAGATTGAAACATGGATTATAGGATCCATTGGCTTCTAGGTGTGCTTTTGGGCTACCACCGATTTGAACCCCTTGAAAAAAAAAGAACTGTTGGAAGGAGTATAAGGGCAGTGGAAAAACCTTGAGCTTTTACAGATGCACATCATTGAGTTCACACTCTTCATGTTGGTTTTAGTAAAACATGCAACTTTTTGGCAAGAATTGCTTCGTGTGTTGTCTACAGGGTGTTCCGTAAGTCCTAGGTCATTTACCCAGTTATTGATCCAGTAGGTCAGTGTGTGCACCACCATTGACATTGTCCAATTATTAATCACTCAATTATCAATTAGTTCATCATATATTTATTTAATTAATTAATTATTAATTAACAAGAACTAAGAATTAATGTCTGTAATAATCATTGTAAATAATCATGACCTGGGACTTACGGAACACCCTGTAGTTGCAGTGTGCATAAATTCGTCATTTAATAAGGTGACTTACCTCTTGCAATTCCAATTGCATCAAAGTTGATTTCCACTAAACATGAGTTCAGTCCTTTTACTACCCTTACACTACGTTACTGATGTCTCTAAGTTTAGATTTTGGTTGGGAGTTGAGCCCAGACAAAGAAACTTATTTTTTTAAGTGTGGGAGCAAATGACCATGAACAAAGGAGACTGCTGAACCGAGAGAGAGAAGGCCGAGCAAACGCGCATACCAGCACTCTAGACAGATGATTCATATCTAAGTGCAAAAAAGGGCCTTTCCCCTCGCATCCTTTGCCCTTGGAGTCGAGAGTGGCTATTTTTCTTCCTTCAAAAATTGGGGCTTCCGATGTCTTTTTTTTCGCGAGGTGATGATAAATATACCCGGGCCCCAGTTTTGTCACGATCTAAGCTGGCAAGTTATTGAAAGTTATCTTAAGCTGAACTGCAGAGCTAAGGAAAGAGAAAGAGGTCGGGCAGGAACCAGGTAGAAGTAGTGGAGTGCATTCGAGACTTTTAGCGCAGAGATATGTATGGGGAAGTGGAAACATAAGCTGACACTAAATTTAGGCCTGATCTTGAAAATCCTAACGATGAAAATTTTGTTGATCAAATTGTCCTCACCAAATTCATGGGAACAGGAAAAAGACTCCTTCAATCTCGTGGCCGTAATTCGTGAATTCCTGATCTCGCTACTGGTAGCATGATTGTTTTGAATGCCACTGTTGACTTTCCCATGTGTTGTCTCTGCTTTGGACATGTCTGTGTTCGTTTTATAAGCGGGCTATATGTATGAGTGGTCCTAGCACGGTATCTTTGAAGCCATCGTTGACGGTCGTGTCTGGCAGGTATTGTGGGCACGGGTCGGGGACGAAATTCCTTCCGTCCATCGAGGTGCAGCGAATGGAATGCCGTGCCCTCGCTCTTCTCTTCGGTTGCTCCAGCGGGAAACTCGTGCAGTACGGGAAGAAGGTGGAACCTCATGGCGTTGCCTATTCCTACTTGCTGGCTGGCAGGTCTGTTCAGTTGCTCCCTTCTTTCGCATCGCGTCTCCGCTTGAGACGCGAATTAATAGTCGCGTCTTCGCGTTTGTGTCATGTGCACGTTTCTTTTTCAGTCCTGGTGTGCTGGGAGCTCTGTGTGTGGTGACCGACGTAGACACAGATTTGATCACGCAAGCTTTCCTGGACACGTGGCTTTCCGGAAACGTTGATCTCCTCTCGTCTCTCGTCAAGGCACGCAAGGTTGCTAAGTCGCCTTTTAATGCCGCCGCGTGCATCTTTTATGGCCTCCCTTCCATTTCCTTGCTTTCCTAGGTCATACTATCATGGCTTTAACTTATTCCTTCCAGAATACAATAACTAATAAAGTTTTCTTTGGCTCCCTCTCATTCCTCTTTGTAGTTCCTTTCGTTTGCTATAGCATGCGGGGGGTCGGCAAGAGAAAGCTATAAGGGGAAAGAGCGTGAAAGCTTTAAGCGAAGTTGTTGGCGCAATCGACCAGTTTCGTCGGAGGCATCATCCGTCAATGATATGCATCAGAGAACTACAGGAAAAAAAGGAAGTATTCTTTCGTCCAAATTTCAATGACAGCAGAAGCCTTTCTAAACGGAGTGCCAATTTTCTTAGGAGGGAATTCCTTCGTCCCTCCTGAATGCAGGGATAGTCCCCTCCCATATTTCAAGCTTGCATGAACCGGTTCACCTTATGTATCTCAAGTCTTGGCCTCATAAAGAATCTCCTACCCTACTCCCCACTTGCATGCCCCCCACTTGTAACCCTTGTTGGGAGTCCTGGTCATGGACGAATAAGGTGCTTTTTACGATGGTATTAATAATTGCCCTTGTCCTTGAAGGCTTTTGCTTTTCATGCTCGTTTGGCTGGTCGCGATAGCGGGATCTCTCAGGACAGTACTTACGGAAATGAGACAGAAGAATTACAACTCTAACTTAACCCTTTAATGCATGATTTTTTTATTTTTCAAGTGAAAAACATTTGGTAGGTTTTACTTACGTCCTAGAGCACGAGAAAAGTGGAGGAAAAAAGTTTTCCTCAAAACTTTTGAGCAGTAGCCCTGAAAATGTTATTGTTGCTCATTTGCTACAAACAGCATTTTCAGCTTTCTAACCCACGCTGCATGGACGCAAGAGAACTCAGTCGGTCCGTCAACATTCGTACCTCGACGCAAAAGAAAATGTGAAAAGATGGATGAGCCTGGACCCTGGATTAACGTAAAGTTGAAAGCAATTGCTCCAAAAAAAGTCAGTCTGTCACACGACGAAGCCAGATGTTTTTAATTTGCTTGCCACCAGGAATGTATGACATCTAGCGACCGCATGGTTGCTAGGTATAAGGACCGGACTGTTGCATATCTGCTACGAACCAATTTACCTCAAGAGCTAGCTACCTACGCATTCTAACAAATTTTTGTTTGGTATGTAGCATATCTGCTACGTCATGCATTAAAGGGTTAAACAAGAAGCGCCCACCTCGAATGGATCTGGTTGATATGACCTGGCCTGAAAGATGTGATTGCTGGTGGGGGCCGTTGTGCTCTGCTCCCTTGAGTTCCCATTTCCGCTCTCATCTTTCAAAGTGAAACTAGACACGAAACACGCTCTCATAAATTTTTATTAGTCAGGCAGAGACATTTGTAGGAAATGCTCTCCGTTGCTACAATAGGGACAGTATTTTGTATATGGTGAGCACCCTTTTTGAAAAAGGATCTCTCTCCTCCCGTGTCGTGTAACACCGAGGATCCGCTTAGCTTACATGACGAAGAAAACCAATTAAGTACGTGAGATAGACGTTTAAAAAGTCCCTTGCCGAGAATTGCGTCTTTCTCCGCCCTGCCTTGATCGATAGAAGGAAGGACGGAAGTTGTTCGCAGCACTGTCAGTCCTGTTCGAGGAAATCGTGATCCCCGCCAAGACGCATCGTAGAATTCTGTCAAAGATAACAGGTTCGTAGCAATGACGATAACTATGACCGATGAGCATGATGGTAATTGCGGTGGTGCGTGGTGATTCGCACTTTGCTCTCGTATCGAAACGAGCCACACTTGTCAGCAATATTGGTGTTCGGAAGGATCCACGAAAGACGAACGAAGAGGGCCAGGAAGAAGTTGGAAGAGCAGCTATCCGGGTCACAAGGCGGAGATGATCGTGTGTTGAAGGTCGATTTTATTGATCTCGGTCTCGAGGATCTCGCGGATTGGTTCCTCGGCGATGCAGGTGAGAAGATCCCTGAGTGCAAACGACACGGCATCCACGCCGTAATCCAGAAAGCTATCGATTACACTCTCCCCAGTCGTGTGGACGTCCACCGGCCCCACCTCCACATCCACCGCCTCCACCGTCGCATTCTTGTCCAAGTTGAGAGGTTGAGACACGGTGACGCCGACGTGGAGGTACTCCACCGTGAAGGTCACATCCCCGCCGACCGTCCACCAGAGGAATTGAGTTTCGTATCCCGCCTTCCCTGTCAGCTCCTTTGTCCCCATGTTCACGTGCACACTCACCACGTTATCCACCACCGTGATCGTGATGTTCCCCACCCGGTGGATCGTCGACAGCCCGTGCAATTTACCCCTACAGCAATCAAACAAAATATCAAACGAGGCCCCTTCGTGTTTCTCTTCACAGCCTCTTGGCTCGTGTCACCGTTATTCTTGTTTTGAAGTATCTCCCATATTTTTAGCGCACCCTATTTCTTGATATATAATGATAGCAGCGACCGCTTTGTATTTTCAATAGGCTTACTCTTAGAACCTACGTAGCATTCATATGCTACATTCGGATTATTGATTATCCGAATAGCCTTACTGGGTGAGTTTGAAGTTGATGCCAAGAGAGGAGAATTGTCTGTCAGGGATGACATATGGATCTAGATTCGATTTCTGGATGAAACTGCGAGCATCTCCGATCACGGAATCGATCGGCGGTGTCTGTGGAGAGAAATTCAAGCCGAACTTCTTCAATTCCGCGTTCGCTTCCGTCTTCAACGAGGTATCGATGCTTCCCAGGATCGTGGGCTTGATGCTATCGAAGATGAATGGACCCACGGCATTGATGATTCCTGAATGGGGGAAAGAGCAAAAGTTGCTTCAGTTAGTGCAAGACAACCCAGCTCAACGCTGGGTTGTCTTGCACTAACTGAAGCAACTTTTCATGAACTGAAGCAATTGTTCGTCGTAGTTTTGGAGCGAGGAGAGGAATCCTGAGGGCGGAGGAAGAAATTGTGGGAGGCAGCGTCGCGCCCCATCCTCGAGGGACGGTGGGAAGAGCTTTCAATGGAGGTGGGGGGTATCAGGCATGAACGATAGGAAATAGCGCTGTGTACCACCCTCAGGGTGATAGTGGAGGATGAGGGAGTATGGGCGAGATTGGGAAGCAGTGCCTCGGTTTGGTGCAGCGCGGTACCAATACCCACACTTCCAAAAAGTTATGCAAGGTGAAAGTCCTTTTCTTGACTTGAGAATGTGAATTCGAGCTCGGGCAGTGCAGTGATTTTAGAGCCGGTGAACGAGTAGAGGAGGTCGGTGGGGATAGTTTCCCTTCAATCGTCCTCGTATCCGAGGTATTGTGACGAGAAGCTATCGCTCTGGTGGAATGATCTCTATCCGTTTCATCTAGGCATATCTCTATTGCATGCATGGGTTGCTCTTTCAAACGAAGAACCTTCGACTACAACCCTAACACTTGTTAACTTCAAGTTCAACAGCGGATCCCTAGAGGGAACTCCTAATTTACGGGGGTCACCTCAAAAGTAATGCCTCCGATTTTGTCTACCTCAAACTACTGGTGGAACAAGCTCGAAAATGTACACGCAGATACTTTCAAATGCTCTCCCACTATTTGTAAAGTTTCGCGAGTCCCATCCAGAAGGCAATGCAGCGATTCAAAACGGTGGAGTATGATGACGACCGTCACAAGCAAAGAGCAACGATTGAATTCCGCCCAAATGGAGTACTGCCGATGGACATTCGTCGTCTCATAATTCACACGACTCATGCAGTGACGCGCAGTACTCACACTGATACATGCATCACCATTAAAAAAATCTTGCACGTGGAAATGAATGTCTGTCGGTGGTACTTTTAAGAGGAATGGAAGGCCTTTCGAAAGAAAGTTTTCTGCATGTGCATTTTTGAGCTTGTCTCCAATACTTTGCGGCAGACGAAATCAGAGTCATTGCATCTGGGGCGATCCTCGTTGAAGGCCATTTTAAATGCCTTGGCTGGAATAAATATAAATGACGACACTATTTTTGAAGTTCCGGAAGAAATACAACAGCTTTATATTACTGTGGACTACGGTCAACTCGAAAAAACGTGGGGAACTACCACGAACAGGGACTCAGAGTTCCGCCATGACCCCGAGGTCGTACATTCCTATGTAGCCGTATTACATACGCAAAGAAAATGCGTGACTCCTGAGTCCCGCCAGGACTGAAAGGATTAAAGACAGTGCAAACGCGGCTACTTCACGAAGCCGTTCTTCCTCGCGCGAGGTTGCGGGGTGGGGCGAGCGAGGCTTTCATCGCTCCGAGTCGCTCGAGGTCGGGAGTTTACCTTGGAAGATGCTGCCGAGGAATCCGAGGTCCTGGAATTTCATGTTGATTTCCTGGAAGGTCATGTCCATGTTGACGTTGTCGATCTGGAAGTATCCGCCTTCTTCCACTCGTAGACGGGCGTCCCCGCTCACGTAAACGTCTTTCAAAAACACGACAAAATCCCCCCGTTGAGTGCTGAAGAAGTTGGACATGGCGTACCTCCCCGTCACGACCAGTTGCGGAATGTGCATCGAGAGGGACACCTGCCAGAGCGAAAAGAATCCTAATTTCCCCGAGCATTTTCCCTTATTTTCTTTGCATTCCATTCCAATTCGTGTCGAGAGCTATTATTCGACCACTTTTCGTCGCTACTTCAACTCGCCTGTTGCGCTTGGTCTTGCCCTTTGGTCTTTTCGCGGCGGAGAGGGATGGGAAAGAATGCGACGGAACGGTTTTCGAGGTCAAAATGAAACATGCGTATTTCTACGAAGATTTTCACGTCCGCAGAGCACGACGAAACGTATCGCAACGCGTTCATGCGGGACGGAGGAAACGGGACCGAACCCAGTTTTCACGCGTCATATCGATTCGATTCCAACGAAATACGAATGACGAGCGAGGGCTCCTCGAGGTCCACGACAGCGAGCTCGAAACCACTCGAACCTCTTGAGCGAGGAGAAATCATTTAATTCTCGTCACAAACCACAAAATTAATCGGTTCCGAGAATTATTGCTGTCGAGTCTCGATTCCAAGATCTGAGAAAAGAAATTTTCAATTTTCAGTATTCGAAAGCATCAATGTCGAAACGATCGGTACTTGTGCCACTAGATTCCGAGCTCGTATTAATTTCTCGTCCATGGAAGAGGATTGACTATTGAGCGAGAGTTTTCCAACGCAATTAAAAAGTAAATTAAAGTAATAAATTATTAAAAGTAAAGACCAAGTAAATTAAAGCCCAGAAAGCCCTCACTTAACGAATTAATTGAAGGGCTGAAAGGAAAAGAGGTCTATCTGCAAAAAATACACATATTCTCGAGCTCCACACGGAAAGAGTGAATATTTCAGCGCCCGTTTTCTTTTAAAGTGAGGGAAAATGTTGAGTAGATAGTCCCATTTTTTCGCTTATAAAGTCGCCAAAACTACCATCTTCATCGATAGACAAAAGGGTCTACGCACACGAAACCAACTAAACCTTTCTCCGACATTTTTTGCTGATAGACCGCTTTTCCTTTGGGCCCCTCAAATTTTTCCAACGGAAAGGCCTTGGAAGGAATTCGTGCATGACAAGAATTCTGTTTGGGGTGCAATTCCAAGGCAATGGATGCAATTCCCTGGCAATGGATGCGATTCCCTGACGATGGGAGATCATCCGCACACGACGACCCCGAACTCATAGTTCATCGAAGTTCTTCGTAATATTGAACCATCGATCCCAATCAGGTCGATCGTTTCGACAACGATACTTTCGAATAATTCCAGAGAATTGAAAATTTCTCGTCTCAGATTTTATTGCCGGTCAGCTCGTCTATCGTCCGGAGAAACCGATCCGGCATCTGTGCCTGGCTGATCCAAGATGCTATTGCTAGTACTAGACCTCGAAATGAATCAGCTGACATCCTCAAGAGCGAGATTGAATTTGTTGGCATCGGCTCGGATCGTCTCGACTGTCCCATATCGAAGTCATCGGTGGACCCAACAAACTTTTTCTGCGCTTCATCCCATACTTCGTAGCAAGATAGAGGGACGAGAATGATTCGATCGATGGAACGAATGAATTCTGTGGCTCGGGATCACAGATGGGTGCATGGAACCCGTTCGCTTTCGTCCGATCTAGATAAATTGGGATGCAACGATTTCATGGGTTTCCTTAGAGCTTTCAGACAGGGAGTTCCGAAACGTCTTCGCGTTTGGAGTCATCAAGTCTTCTGAAATTATCTCGACATGATTCCCAACATGACATAATTCCCTGAGAAACGCCGTCGACTCGTTGCGGTCGCATCAATAGATTCAGGCATGAATATGGAGTTCTCTATGACAAACTTCTACGCTTCAGTGCAATATATATGTTCCTGCTCAGTGGAAAAGGATTATCTGTTCATATTGCTGGAAGAGACCTCACCCCCCCTCCTCCCCCTTCCCCCACTCTCTCCTCCCCCTTCCCCCACTCTCTCTTTCCCCTTCCCCTTCTACCCCCACAGTTTCCTCCACTAGCATCTTTACTGCAATGAAAAGTATCACTTTCATGTTTATTTTCCTTTCTGTACATTCTGACAGTATACAGAAACAGCTGGGACCGGAAATATCTCAGAGGAGTTTGAATATAGGGTGGACCGAAAGGCTCTCACGACCCATTAATATCTCACGGGAAAATGTGGGAAAACATTTATGAGATTCCTGCTGCGGCCAGACCCGGTAGAAGTCACACCTGGGGCCCTAGTCGTCAGATATAACTAGGGCCGAAAGGAAAGCCGGTCTGTCCGCAAAAAAATTCTTTTCCCAAGCTCCAGAGGGAAAGAGTAAATATTCTAGTGACCGCCGTTTTAAAAGGGAGGAAAAGCGACATTCCTGATGGACCAGTTTTTTTTTTTACTTTAATGATTCCCACGAACAACTGTCTTTAAAATTAAAGGGAAATGAAGCGATCTGTGAACCAGTTCTTCGGATATATTTTTGCCGATAGACCAGTTTTCCTTTCGGTCCTTTATGTATCCGTGAAGTTTTTACCGCATGCATTCCAGCACGAATCGCATTCGGAAACAATAGGATCCTTGCATAAGTTCATCTGCCTCATCCTTGAGTCTTGAAGGGAGATGCGATGGATAGGACACATCCTTCATTCTCCCTCTTGCCTTACGCTTTAAAAAATACTTTTTAAAGGACTCCAACAGATTTTTTCTAAGGCACCAAAGGAGAAAAAAGAATCGCGTGAGACCGAGATGAAGACGACGCGAGAAGTCGGAAGACGATTTCTCGGCCGGTTGCCAATTCTCCGAGTCTCTTCTCGCAGATGTCATGCCTCTATGAAACCTGGACGAACTCATTCTTCCTCTTCCTTCGCTCGATCGAATTAACGCCTGACGGATCCGTCTCCGATCCATCTTTCCCTCGAAATCGCTCGAAAGAGCGATTTCCATACGAGTAAAATGCGATGAAGGGAACCCCGCGAACAGATGAGATGGCTATGACTTCCAAAAAAGAAAAGAAAAAATACCTCTGTCTCGAGAGCTGCTATTCCTCTAAAAGGGGAAGAGTGGGAGGGAGAGTTTGAGAAGCAAACACTTGAAACCCCATGTCGCCAGGGAAGACGACCAAACGAGCCTTTTGGGCTGAGAGGCTCCAGAGATTCTTTATTCCGGTTTCTGGAATCGTCCCGTCGCTTTTCGTCCCGTCACTCATTCATGTAAAAGCAGTTTCTACGGTTTCCTCTTCGGATAGAGGCAGCAGAGAAAAATGTTGTAATGCCTGCCTGTCGAAGAATCTCAACTTGGAGCGCGGGCGTCAGAGGGAAGAACACGTTTGAAAGTGACAAATTTTCTCTGCAGATTTCCCTTCTGCTTCTGAGGCGTTAATCAGGCGGGAATTCGTCAATGAAGCTAATTTGGCCTTCGACGACCGTCACGATAAGCCTAGTCCTAGTCACGATGAGCCTGTTCACCGTGTAAGCATAACGAGAGATCGGAATAGTTGCCCCCCCTCGGACGCGAGACTCTGACCTTGAGATTGGCGACATCCACGTGGACCCTCTTGATGCGAAACTTGGTGAGTTTAAGGACTTGGGCTTTGGTGAACTGGATCTTGACGATGGAGAAGGCTCCCTGGAAATCCGGGATGTCCATGGGATCCTGAAGCGGGATCCCCGGAATCCCGAGAGGATCCTCCTGTTTGAAATGCTCCAAGACCTCCCGAATGATCTCCTCCGTCGACTTCTTCACCGCCTCCCGCTTCATCCGCAAGAAACCTGGAAACGCGTCAACGTCCGCTTCAAATGCACTCCGTCGTAGTGAGACGCTGCATGGATTTCATGGCCAGTCCCTCTTTCCGGGATGCCGGGACGCAACCTTACGAATGGACTCGAGCAGAGCTTCCGAGTCAACAGGAAAAATCTGTACGGTCTTACTTTACTTTGTAGCTTCAAAGTTCATCTTTAAGAATAGGATTTTTATCCCTATGCCCTTATTTTTTAAAGAAAGACTTTTTTTCCATACTCACGGAAGGTATAAATTTAGGGAGGGAGGGAGAATTAGCATGCAAAATTTTACTCTATAAATGTTTCATGCATTGCAATAGTTGCGTAAATATTCATATTTCTTCATGGATTATCAAGAAAAATATTGGTAAAAAATTTAATATATTATGTTCTAAATAGGCGCATGATCATTTTAAAACATTATTATAAATGACTAATTAATTAAGTTAATGTTACAAACGTTAGTTAATGACAATTTGAATTGGTGAGTTAAATAAAATCGTACTTGTATGGGTAACATGCATTGAATAAATATTTATGTTCTAACATGGATGTGAATATTTACGTGACACGATATAAAAATTACTAAAAGGCATAAACGAAAGAAACAAAAACAGAACTCCTATTTTATGTTTTCGTTAATAGAAGGATGGGGAGGGGAGGGGAGAAGGAGGCAATGAGTAGAGTGTAAGGTCAAAATGAAGACCAACGGTTTTTAACCTATAGGGTGACATGCACCAGATCCGTTTAACTTTAAACTGACCTGGTTTCATAATGGGCGTCTATCGGAAAAAGATTATCTCCGTCAAACGGATTCCCATAGAGGACCATTGTGAGATCAGATCAGATTAAGTTAGGCAGATCTGGTGCATGTCGCTCATTGGCTCTGCCTTCACTGGAACTATTTCCTTTGTGCGTAGACTGGCAAATTCCCAGCAGCCTTTTTGAAATGTCATACATTAATTGATGTAACCAAAGTGAGACAACGAGCTACTCAAAAGAAATCGGAAGTAGAAAATGGACAGGGGACTCGAATCCCTTTTGAGAGTCTCGTTCTCTGACGAAGACCAAAGAAAGTTCCTGGTAGGGACCTAGGGGTAAAATACTCAATGATGTTAAGAGCGTATATTCAGTGATGGGCAACGACGCAGGAAAATTCCAAAAACTAGTCATTTGTTGCATGAAAACCTCTAAAGTGTGTATATGCTTGCATGTTGCCAGCCTATGTCACTACAGGGTTATGAGTGTTATGAGCTTAGCCGTTGGAATTTTTATGTGCTGTAGCCAATCACCGGGAACCGGTCCATCACTGGGTATTTTACCCTATCTCTTGGTAAAAACTAGGGCTGTCACGATAGCAGTTTTCAAAACATCGATGCATTGACCAGAACTATCGATAGTGCATCGATGCATCGGGAAGAGGGTGGGGGGGGGGGGGGGGGGGTACCTGCTTTTTTCCCCTTCCCGTCTTTCATATAGTCAGTCCCAGCATTTCAAGAATTTGATTGTGATCAGAAATTGCTAGCCCATGCGGGTCACGCCGCTTTTTCCTTTCCCCGCCAGGACGGACTATATTTTACTGTACTCGTCTCAATCCAATGGGACATTTTCCCTGTAAATTCTTTTGCCGATACATCGCGATGGTCGAAAAAACTATCGATATCTCCAACCATCGATAGTGGTATCGATGCATCGATCTATTGTGACAGCCCTAGTAAAAACTGAATAGACTTTGAGTAAAAGTTTTCTCTCTCTGTTTCGATACTTATGGATATGCTTTATTGCAACCAACCTGCTAAGAAAAAGCTAACCTAAGAAATTAATTGCAATTCAAGAGAAGTTAGATGTGGCCTGGAAACAGGCACACTAGGGCGTGTCCTCCACTTGAGGGTGTTGGGTGTGTCCTCCACTAGAGGGCTTTGGGCGCGTCCTTCATTTCACTACCAGCCTCAGCCCTTGTCCATTTTTATTATCTAACTTCTTATAATAGTTGCTCATAAACTTGCCTAAGAGCACTGACATACGTTTTGAAGATGAATCGGGAACACATACATCTACGCACTGGAAAATTTTCGTGAAAACAGCTCAAATGGGAGCAAAGATGTAGTGGTTAGAAGTCTTTAGTTTTTTTTGCCGTACCCTGCATATCCCGAAGGAGATAGGACAGACAAGGCGAAGAATTTCATGCGATCGGAAATGGGAAAGGCAAAGGGGAGGCACTCACTGTGATCGGGAATGGAAACGGCAGAGGCGATGAAAAAGAGGAAAACGAGAAGCGTCCCCATCGTGGACGTCTTCGTCTTGCAACGCGTATGAATGCATGCACGCATCGGATGATGATCCGGGCCGAGATCGCATAAACAGAGGCTGACAGTGGGTGGAAGGAAACCAGGAGTCCCTTAGCACGAGGCCAGCGTTCGATAGACATCCTACCGGATGTGCGCTCGTTTCGTAAGAAATCGTAATGCTATCGCCTGTTAAATCTCTCACTCGCTCGTCGTATTCCTTCCTTGCATCTCGTCGACGATCGGGAAAGTTTCCGACCCCCGATCGAATCCAAGAAGGAGGCAATTCACCGCACTGCTCGGTGACGATGCGAAAGTCGCAGGGTCTCTTGCTACGTCCATGGAACGACATCATTTATGTCGGACTCGTCTAAGGGAGCAACATCATTCTCCTCCAACGGTGGAGAAACGGGAGTCGGAATCTTCTGACGTCGGTCGACTCGTCACCTATTCGCGATTCCGTTCCGTTCCCACGATCCGAGAAATCGTGGAGAGGGCGAGGTCGAAGTTGGGATCGATGGTTCACTCAAGGGAGACGGCGTCGAGTTGCTGGGACTTTTCGCATTTTTCAGTGGAAGGGAAATTCCAATTTCAAGTTTTTCTTCGCTAGCGCTTTAGAGAAATTTTGCCTTCGCAACCGGGTTCGGCGCTTCCTCGGGTCCCCATCATCCAAGAGATCTCGAGACTGTCCGTAAACGCGTACGAAACACAATTATGGAAAATCGATGAATGGAGACCCTACGAAGCACGTTGGAATGATTCATCCCTTGCAGCATATAAGAGAAAGCAGGATGTTCCTTTCGACATTTTTTAAGGATGTTTTAAAAATTTTGAGAAATGATGCGCACCGTGAGCTGAGAAAGATGCGAGCGGTCGAACACCACGGAAGAATGCCGAACCCCAGCGAACATTCGCAATTTAGGTTTCCACGCTCGGAAGCCCATTGCATTCCATGGGAATATGTATCGACGTTCGGGAAGTCATGGGGGAATCCGATCGGTCCTCAGAGTGCTAACGACAGGGAACATGAGAACCCAGGATCCCATTTTGTCGTGACGTTGCTTCCCAAGCGGAGAATGAAACTTTCGTGCAGTGGATTCCCCCCCCCCCCCCTCCTCCCTCGTCACGTGCCCTACCAATTAGACCGTACTGATGAGCGACGAGATTGCCAAGGAGGATGGGAAACCACTAGGTTAAGTGATGGAAAGAGAGGAAGACGGAAAGAGAGGAAGATCAAAAGAGAGGCAGACGGAAAGAGAGGTAAGCGGAAAGAGAAGGCGAAGTTTCCCCCCTTTAATATCACGTAACGCCTTTATCCATCTATACCTTTCGACCCTCTCGAGGTTTTCTCGCGAGTAAATGGAAAATTTAGAGGAGATATGCGTCCTTGATCTCCATGGAGATGGGGTGGGGGTGGGGGGAGGGGGAGTTTCCGCATCGGCTGAGTGGAAAAGTGTGTCTGTCTACATAAAAAAAAACCAAAATCCAATCACGTCCGAAAAGCTTATCTCTCCGGTGCACTTCGAATTTCGCCACAAGAGTCATCAACCCACCCGTTTCTTCCCAGATCTCTTCTAAAGAACTCAAAGCCTTCGTCATCGAAATAGCTTTTAACCTAGTTAGAAACATCCATCTAACTATGCTCCCATGTTTCCGGTCCCCAGTGTCTTCCCACATCCCAGGAATGAGGAAACTGGGGAGATGTTTCCGTATTTCCTCACTTCACCACCAGGCAGTGCTTATCAGAGGGAGAATACTCCCATGGAGTTCATGGGGTCCCAATTCCCGTATGAAAAAAACCGTCTGTAATGCATTAGCTCTTCCTAAATGACCAAGCATCCAGAACAAAAAAAGATTTCCAGAGCCTATTTTCTCAACGGATGAAAATATCCCGAGTTTTAAGCGATACATTTCCTATTTCATGTCCTCCTCGGAAGACAAAGGTCTCGTTACCTAAGTCTGTCTAGATTAAGGAAACATCACCCTTCCTCCACGGCTATTATAACATTTATTGACCACCTTCTCTCTCGACAAGACTCTAGAAATGCAAAGGTGCATTTCTCCAAAGCTTTTGACATCGTCACCCATGATATTTTATTGCCTAAACTGAAAACGCAGTACTTCTGCTCTGAACGCTCCATCAAACTCTTATCATATCCTTCCCTCAGAAGACAGGAAATCTGTTATGATGATGGGAGCTCCTCTGACATCCTCACCTATCACTCAATGGGTGTCCCTCAGGACTTCATTCTCTATTCACTCTTATTCCTCCGACAGTGTTTTGCAGATGAAATCGTACCACCTTTTAACACTGCGCATGGTAATTCTATGGATCATTCAATGCGGTGGCAGAAGAAGTTCGACTATTGTTTCCATTCCGGAGGAAAGATGTTTCCCTCTCGCTTCATACAGCCACATCGCATCGATAGGTTAGTCGCTTGGGAAATACAGTATCGTACGGCGAAGATGACGTCGCCCGGCCCATATGAAAGGATAGACGAGTCATTGAGCACAGGATCGTTGCCAAGCACCAGACTGGGTAGTCATACACCGATTTCCCGAGCTTCAGAGAAACGAAACCTGTTTTTCCAACTCATCATTTTCATCGAAAAAGGAAAAAAGAAAGCAGTTTCCTTTATACAGTACTTTGATCTTGGCTCGCTCTTATGTTCCTATCCTCAACGTTCTCCAATCTACTGTACTCGACTCTACGTACGTTGAGTGTCGCTCAGGCGCAGCGACGAAAGCGCCGCCGTCCAGGTTGGGTGGATTCCTCATTAGAAAAGCTTAGGCTCCATGTTAAAGGTGGTACGAATTCATTTTCAAAACATTGTATTCTATCGCACTAAAGGTCTGTACAATACATATGACCATCATACACACCTCCAGTAGAAACATTTAAAATTTTCAAGTTCTTCTCCAGCACGACGTGAACAGTATCCTCAATTGGACTACTAGAAATAAAATGATGCTCAACGCTGACAAAACACAATGGGGTCATCCCATTCCAAACCCGATCTCCTCCAACTTTTGCGAAAGTTGATGGACTCGTAGGACCTATAGAAAAACTAATCCACGTCAAATTATAGCTATCGAGGTCAAGTACTTTCTGAGGTGAAGCGAATTCAACGTTGCCCAAAAGAACCGATTTCGGATCCAGTTGCATCACTCACGCGCTCATAATTTAGTCATATTTAACACGTTGACGACCAGCCTATTTTTGCTTGTCCGCCGCGTGGGACCGCGCGCATTTTTTTTGTCAAAAAATGCGTCCTGCCATCAGGACGCATGGTCTAAAATCTGCATCCTGGCATCAGGACGCATTGTCGCCAACGTGTTAACTAGAGAGCTGTAAGTGGTATCATTTTCAAGGTCAAAGGTTAAAGGTAATTGACATTGATCTGTGACCTTGAATTTCATTTGTAATAATCACTTTACTTGAACAAGTCAAATTTCCAAAGGAGAAATTAAAGAAGGTTGTGGCTGCTCTGCAAAGAGAGTTACTTGAAATGTATTCAGATGACAGCAATGATGCAGCAGACAGAAAATGAAATCATGAACCAACTGAAGTAGACATTCCAACCATCTACAGAGAGAATGGAGAAGGTTCAACTCCAGACAGTTCTTCCAAAAAGTTGGAGCATTATGAAAATCGATACGAGTTCAGCGCATCAAACTTATTGATGCGCGAAGTTAAAGTACTTGTGAAGGAGAAGGGGATCACCATATTCGAAACCAGGAAAGTATGCCCAGCAGAACCAGCCGATCTCGTCAGGAACGTCTATGAATTGGCTCATGCCTGGCAAGAAAGATTTCGTTTTTGTGAAATTGGTACGAAAGCGGGCTCGTGTTCAGGAAAAGCTAGTCTTGAGCAATTTGAGGGAGATGTATGAACTGTAGAAAGAAAGGCAATTCGAATCATCGGCTTCTCGAAATTCGCAGAGATTCGTCCAAGGTACAGTGTCTTAGCTGGAGCGAGTGGTACGCATGCAGTGTGCATCTGCACGATCCATCAAAGCGCAAACCTGATGATGTCGGGCGGAAATATCACCGATCTCACTGCGAATGATAACGTTCCGCTAAAAGCATGCAGTCACTGTCTGGCAAGGATCATCTACAAGACTCTTGAACCAGCGTGCTACTTCAGAGAATCCCTTTCGTGACCTGTCATATCCGGTCTGAAGGAACGCCCGAGAACGCTGATGGATCACAATACGATCGACAATGTAATCTACAGACTGCGTCTTTCCGTTTACTGATCCAGCCTCGAGACAATCAAGAAGTTCTCTTTCGATTCCTTGGACTCTTTCTGTGAAGATCTGGAAGTTTGCAAGCGGAAGAATTCCTTGATGCTCGGTGACGTCTCAGACAAGTATTTATTTATTTGACAGGACAAAGCGCGAAAGTTAGAAGTCACAAGCAACCAGCAGTCATTTCTGACGTATTATATGGAGTCCGGGGAATCCCAGCATGTTAGCAAAGTCATTTCAGACTGGCTTTATCGTGATGAGGATGCTGTCATCTATTTCAGAGGAATCTCATCGATTCCCTGGAAGATAAATTCCGTTCTCTTTCGCGAAAAATTATCTACTTCTCCGATGTGTCTATTTCTCACCAAAAAAGTGCAACATTTTTCTCAGTTTGTGCCAAATGAAGCAGACGTTGGCGTTCCGATTCAGTAGCACTTCTCAGTCACTTGTTGCAGAAAAGAGCATGCGACGGAATTTAAGGCTCAATGATGAAGTTTGCTGCAAGAGCCAGTCTCCAACCGATCATCCAACAATGGGCATGAAAATAGCTTGGAAATGATATCACTTTCAGTTCTCTAAGTTAATTAGAATAAAACTTATGGGCGCTTGAGTGACGACCACCTGACACGAAATCGGTCCTTTTGGGCAACATTCAAATCGCTTCACCTCGGAAAGCACTCGACCTAGAGAGCTGAAATTTTGGCATGGATTAGTTTTTCTATCGACCCTACGAGTCCACCGAGTTTCTTGAGAATCGGATGTGGTCAGGTCAATTTATTGATTTTTTTTTCCCTGTTC